CATGATGCCGTTTGTTAGTGAAAGAGATGTAGGAAAGACAACACCAGAAAGAAATTGATTATTCAAGTGTGTGCAATTACCATCCTCGAGGACTAAAGCAGGATTTTCCCCTCTCAGATTCCACACCTTTTAAGAGCATCCACGTACTACGTGGAGCCTTATCCTTCTCTAAACCCCCCATTTTAAACGGGGGTAATATTTTTGCCTGGAGAACTGAGAATAACCCTTTCTCCAGATATAGAGCATCCAGTATTCCCCTAATCCCTCCCAACAACAGCCAAACAGCACACACACACACACACCCTCAGCCAACTGTATTATTAGAAGCTCAGAAGGAGAAACCAGAAAACTCCTACCTGTGAGAAATAAGAAGGTATGGCTGGGGTTACACAGGCTACTTTGGAGAAGGTAATTCCCCACGTCTGGCAGAAGAGATTCTTGCCACAAGGCAAGAAATGGCACGTGCTCTAACTGAGTGAAACTGTTTATAATGGCTTGAAGCACACTCAGTAGCTTTGCTAGCAAGGTTTTACTAATAGCTTGGGCTCACTAATAGCAGAGGTTTCGCTAGGGACCCTTTGCCAGCTTACACCTTCTCGAAGACCTCCCCGTTGGTAGATTTTGCATTGACAAGTTTTCAGCGTCAACCTGGCTTAAGATGTCATTCAGAACTCCTGGCTGCTCACTGAGGCTTATTCTTTGCAATAAAAAAGGCCAGGGCTAGAGCCAAGAGTCTCAGAGGCTAATGGGTTAGAGCCAGACCATGAATAATTGAGGGGTATGTTCTCCATTTATGGCATTGAGTGGCAGCAACTGGCTGTGAAAATGCATTTGTGGGAACCCCAGGGTCCTTGGGCTTTTCAGCAACGAGCCCCTGTGCCTGCTGTTCCTCACCTTCCCCAACTGAGCCCAACACCACCACTTGTGGTCTGCTCTTCAACAGCCAGAAATCAGACCTTTCCCCGAAATCTACCAATTCCAGCCTCCATTCCTAAGCCAATCCAGTAGGGACCAGCCACACCACCACACGTGGGAGTTACAGAGAGAAGAACAGGGGCCCACACGTTACATTTTAGGTCCTCTTCCCTTTCCAGAAGGAAAAAAACACCTCATGGGAAGGATTAGAGCAGCTTCCGAGTTCCTCACGATCACACAGGCTGAGGAATGCCCCCAGTTCATTACTGGGGGGCCTTGTTTAAGGCCATGGGAAGGTCACAACTATACTCCTGCAATATTAATTATTGGCCTGGGACAGCTATAGAGCAGCTTATTGGTTCCACACAAAACGCTTCCATGTGCTGAGCTACTGCAGGGGCTGGTGCTGTGAGTTTTGCCAGACAAACACTGCAGCTCCCAACAAGTCCCAGTGCTATTCCAAGTTGTAGTTCCAGCAGCCAAACCTTTAACCCCTGGAGATGAGCTGGGAGGGCTCATGGAGCAGCAACAAGCTTCTTGCTCTCTGAAGGTCTGAGGACTTTCCTGCTGGAATCATATTTTTTTTAAGTATCAAATGCCCTTTTCTTCTCCACAGACCTACCACAGAAAGGCACTGTGGATGGAGGTAAAGAGGGAAAAGACAGGGCAAGGAAAGAAGCAGCAGGAGAAGCTCCTCATGCTATCGTCAACTTCCAGAGCTACTTAGGGCAGAAATGTGAGAAGCAAGCACAACCAACCCATAGACAGCCGTGGAAGACACGCAACAAAATACCCAACTGCGTGCTGCTCCGAGAAACTGGAAGGGAAAATTATCCCTAAAAATGCCAGGCATGCAGCACAGATCGTTTACGAGGAGAATACATTTGTAATTACAAGTTATTTTAGCTACCCTGCTGCCAGCAGTAACTAGGAGCAGAAGGAAGCGATCAGTGTCATCATCTGGTCCCCCAGGGAGCAGGCGATGCTGCTGATACTGAAGCACCCGGGCTGGGTTTTCTTGGTGGAACACCTCCCTCCAGTGGCCAAAAGGCAAGTGATTGCCACAAAGCTCGAATAGTTGGGGACAGGCAGTGGTCCTCATCTTCCCTCCTTTCTCCTTCCAGCTCCACGTCAGGCTGAAGGAGAACCGGCAGCAACCTTTCCAACATCTTCCCTCCTTTCTCCTTCCAGCTCCACATCAGGCTGAAGGAGAACCAGCAGCAACCTTCCCCACCAAGCAGCCATCTGGTCAGGTTGGGCAGCTTTGCCATAGAATCATAGAATGGTTTGGGTTGGAAGGGACCTCAAAGATCATCGAGTTCCAACCCCCCTGCCATGGGCAGGGACACCTCCCCCTAGAGCAGGTTGCTCAAGGCCACATGCCATGACGTGTAGCCCCTCTAAATCAGGAGGCCCTGGCAAAGCATTGCCACCCCATTAAAGCAGGGTGCTCTGGGAGACCCACCAGAAAGAGGGGAGGATCCCATATGACCAAGAAACCAAGCTCTCCTCAAGCACAGCCCAGGACAGGCTAAAGGAACAAGTTGTACTCACAGATCAGGCCCGTTGCACCCTACTGTAGGTCCAGGATCCATTTAAGCATCTCCTGCTCCATGCTTGGCTGGCCAGGGCAACCAAAGTCTTGACTTTAGACCAGTTGCCACCGGTGTTTGCTGGTAGCACTCCAGCACCACCTTCTCTGCAGACTTCACTCTTGTTTCTTCAAACATGTGTGAGTATTTTGGTCATGCTTATTTCTTCCTCAAGCAAGAGCTCTGGATTCCATTACAACACCAACACAGGTCCTTCTAAGGACAGCCATTTCAAATAGCAGGGATTTGAAGGAATTTTGAGATCCAGCTCACATCCATTTCTCAACTGCTTAGCTAAGGGAAGGATGAAAGTGCCTACAGCTGCTCTATCTATTTCTCATGAGCTTTTCAAACCATCAAGCCCAGCGCGTGGTGGCATAACCTAGAAAAGAAATGGCTACCTCGGTTTTCTTCCCCCTCACAGTGGCAGGGCAGGGGCTGAGTAATCTTTTTTTTGTTGTTGTTTAAATAGGAGGCAGGAGCCTACCAAAGGTCAGTAGGAAGAGGAAAAAATGATAAAGCTAAGCCAGCCAGAGCTGTACGCACCTGGGCACAGCAGCAAGCTTAGACTTCACACAGAGCAGGCTGCACGGATTTGAAGTGACATCTTCAGAGATCACATCACTTAGGAGATCACAGAATCACAGAATCTTCTAGGTTGGAAGGGACCTTAAAGATCATCTTGTCCAACCATCAACCTAACTGACAAAAATAGACTCCCACACAACAAACAAGGAGCATCATCACTAAACCAGACCTCCCAGCACTACATCAACCCGTCTTTTGAACACCTCCAGGGATGGGGCCTCAACCACCTCCCTGGGCAGCCCATTCCAATGGCTGAGAACCCTTTCAGTGAAAAAATGTTTCCTAATATCCAGCCTGAACCTCCCCTGGTGTAACTTGAGGCCATTTCCTCTCGTCCTGTCACCTGTGACTTGAGAGAAGAGACCGACCCCCACCTCTCTACACCCTCCTTTCAGGGAGTTGGAGAGAGCAATAAGGTCTCCCCTCAGCCTCCTCTTCTCCAGGCTGAATAACCCCAGTTCCCTCAGCCTCTCCTCATAAGGCTTATTCTCCAATAAGATGGTGGGTAATTTAGAGGAGGTCAGTCAGCTCCTCTAAGGACAGACGTATTTCATAAAAGAAGGCAAAATTCACCCTAGAATATTAGCTTAGGGAAATTGTCACCTCCCTCTGCTGGGCAGTATCTTCACAGTCCACACTCATCTCACACACGGGCCTCAGAAGAGCTTTTGACAGGTCCTTTGCTACCTTGAACAAACCAGGTATCTGTGATTTTTGTGTGAGGAGAAGGGGGGAGAGAGGAAGCAAGGAGAGAAATCACTGCAACGCACAAGTCGTAGGCAGAGATATATTTTTTTTTTTTTTAGCAAAGTCTTTATTACAGAAATATTCACCCTCTAGACTTTTATATCTGTACATGCATTTTTCTTCCAGTAGGAAGATGTTGCTAAAAACAGACCAAAAAAAAAAAAAAAAACCCCAAAAAAGAAACCCAGCATGGGCTCCTTTTCACTTTGCTGCTCGGCGTTGGCATCTGTAACTCAACAAGAACCTTACACAAATGAGAACACGTTAAAGAATAGACTTTGTGCTACAAAAGCGAGCGAGCTGTACTGCCAAGAAGGGTGCCTTCTGCTATAGCAAAGGTCAGCTTGAAGGATCTGTGCAGGAGGGGCTGGGTGTCCCAAAATAAAGTCTTACAGCCCCCATAAAAACCAGTTACCCTGTCCTATCTGCTCTCCCCAGCCACCGCTGTGTCCAGAGAGGAGGACAGAGCTGCCGCTGGGGCTCTGACCCCCCTGCACGAGCCTTTCTTCCCAGAAGGAAAACTTGAGGAGGTGGTGAAGCCATCCCTTTGAACTGCTACTGGGGTTATTCCTACCAACCCCACCCCTGACAAGAGACGGTCCTGGGACCACCTCCGTAAGGCAAAGGCTCTCCCACCAAGTACCTTCTCTATCAGGTCTCCAGCAAGGACCACCCACTTCTCTCTCCAACAGCCTCCTGCTGGTTGGGTGACGGCACACCCATGCAACCACCCAAAAGCTGTTGTCCCCAAGCCACCTCCGAGAGTGAAGATATGCTCCCAGCTCCCTTATAGAATCATAGAATCATTGAGGTTGGAAGAGACCCTTGGGATCATGGAGTCCAACCATCTCCCCTACTCTACAAAGTCCTCCCCTACACCATGTCCCTCAGCACTGCATCTAAACGGCCCTTAAACACATCCAGGGATGGGGACTCCACCCCCTCCCTGGGCAGCCTGTTCCAATGCCCGACCACTCTTTCGGTGAAAAATTCCTTCCTAATGTTCAATCTAAACCTACCATGTTCGAGCTTGAAGCCGTTCCCTCTCGTTCTGTCACTAATTACCTGTGAGAAGAGACCAGCGCCAACCTCTCTACAGTGTCCTTTCAAGTAGTTGTAGAGAGTGATGAGGTCTCCCCTCAGCCTCCTCTTCCTCATACTAAACAGCCCCAGCTCCTTCAGCTGCTCTTCATATGATTTGTCTTCTAGGCCCTTCACCAGCTTCGTTGCCCTCCTCTGCACTCGCTCCAGCACCTCCAGATCTCTCTTGGATTGAGGTGCCCATCTAAGGAGCTGGGGCAGTTTTTCCATACATTTCCTCCTTTCTTCTGCTCCACACCACTCCTTGCTGCTGGCCATTGGCTGAATGGAGCCAACAGCCCAGACATTAATTATGGAAGCCCACCAGCCTGCACAACTGCAGAACCAGCTACTGCAGTGCTTTCACTTGAGACAGGAGCTCAGGATGCAGCCGTGGCTCCGGACCGCAGTGGAGTCAGAAGACTGGACAACTGAAATTAAAAGCAACTTATCCTTGCATCCAAACCACCGAACCTAAACCGGGCACTGGCAGCTGGGATATCTCCAATATACAGCAATTATCCTTGCATCCAAACCACCGAACCTAAACTGGGCACTGGTAGCTGGGATATCTCTGATACACAGCATCAGCAACCCAGTCAGATCCCTCCAGATTCATAATTCAAAACCACAGCGGACAAGTTTTCTGTTCATAAAGGGGGCAGGGGGAGAATCAAGTCAATTGTGACCTCTATAAAAGTTGGCAACCCAAGAACACAACCCGCAGAGCCAGGCTGGGGCCGAGTCCCCGCTGCGCAGCCGGCTCTGAAGTGCCTCCAAGCTGACAGGAGCCAGCAAAGCAGTGCTGGGGGGCGAGAAGAAAAGGTGAAGAGGCAAGTGGGAGAAACATCTACGTGTCAAATCCAGAACCTGAGGGAGCCATTCCAGAAGCAGCTGGGCACCACCACCTCCACCACCTGCCAGGTCCCGCTATGAATGGGCAGGTTTGGCTCCCTCCTGGTGGTTTTCATCATGTTCCAAGGGAATTGCTCTGCTGAAGGCAAGCCATAGCTGACTCCAGGAGCAGGAGAAGCAAGTGTGAGGGTATTTCAGATGAGAGCCTAGGTTGGATGGGGCACAGCAGGAGCCGAATCAGGGTAGCTGCAAGGGAGGAGAAAGCCTATAAAGCACAACTAGTTACCACCACAAATCAGTGAAGTAGGTGAAGCTACCAAAGCACTGGAATCTCAACATCAGTCCTGGCTCGTGGGACAAAGAGATGGGACTTCTGGGGGTAGGGAGAAAGATGGGTGGGAGAACAAGGTGGGAGAGGAGTTACTGTATATTAGGCCCAGCGGGTTGTAGAATGGAGATATGAATAGTATTGTTTAACAAGGAGCAGGCAGCAAAAGCATTGTCCCCGCTGGTAAATCGGTGTCTCGTGTGATACGAGACAGGTAAGTTCTGCTTCTTGAAGTAGAAAGAATCCAGAGGCAGGATGCAGGTGGCCCAAGGGCCCTATTGCCAGAAGATCAGGCTGTATTGCAGCTCTAACAGTTCTTAGCAGAGCGGTATCAGGAATGGGATGTCACAGGAATAATGGTCAATGGTTGGACAGTCTGGGTTATGAGGCAGGAATGTTCTTTTTTGCTTCTTTCTCTGTGGTGCCGTAGCTCTGGAGTTAGCTGACTCAAGACTTGGGCACTTTGGTGTAGTCTTCACTGTGTATGTTCTTGCAGAGCGAAATGGACAGTATCATCCCCAGCAGCTGGAATGAGCAAGGAAGAATGGGAAGAAAAAAAAATCAGCAACCCTTCACTGTGAATGTTCTTGCAGAGCGAAATGGACAGTATCATCCCCAACAGCTGGAATGAGCAAGGAAGAAGGGGAAGAAAAAATCAGCAATCAGACAGGTAATAAGGTGGGAAGAGAGAGGGTGACATGGGGGAGCAGAATACAGCAGTCTCCTCCTAATGACACCACATGGGTGAGCAGAGCTGGTCCCCAGCGCAAGGAAAACGCAATCATCAGGACGACAAAAATATTTTGCTGCAAAAAGATGTGCTTTCGTCTGGAATCTATGTAATATATAGGTTTTTTTAAGGCAACAAGTGGGATCTCACTAGCGGGACGCTGCTCGTCTCATTCCTCCTGGTTACACGTCAGACACAGCAGCAGGAACCATGAGTAGACGGGGCTTTGTTCAAATTTTTAATCCAACCAATGAAAGCAGCAGCTCAAAGCTGCAAGTAGACACAATTAAGAGTTGGAACTGCACTGCTATTTAACCAGGTGTCTATTACCTGCAAAAATAGCTTTGCCTTTAAAAAGAGCCAGCACAGTAAGACAGTAGAGGTTCATGTCAGGGTGTGAGACTTACCTCTATAACAGCAACACCGGTGCAGACCCCAAGAATGATACCAAGGTTGTCCTTCAACCACTTCTCTACACCATCCGCACATCCCTGTGGAGAAAACAGGTTGACAAGGGGAAGAAGCAAAAATCTAGGTATCTCAAGACTGAAAATCCATCCTTGTGCGGGCAGAAGATGATCCCAGTTACATGCTATACCAGGTTTCACAGCAGCTGTAGCAGAAACGGGCAGGATCCCTGTCCCCCTTTGCCCCAACTTCCACAGGTACTTCAATTCCAAGTAATTCCCAGAGGAACAAAGACAAGGAGACTTCAGTGTAAGCTTCACGGGGCCTAGACATACCCACTCACCTGCTCATGAATAGGCCAGTCGGCGGACGTCACCGTGCCGTTGACAGGGTCATCCAGATTACAGAAACCAGTACCTGCCTCCCAGTCCTTGGAGCTATTGGAGCAGGAGCAGGGATAATCAGTCATACTTGAGTTGATGAGAATCTCATTATCTTCCCAGTCCATTGCTCCAGTCCAGCCACAGCAGCCAATCTAATATAGGGGAGAGAGAGATCATCACGGTCTTAGACTTTGCCTTAGTAACATAGGGCAAGGTGAAAAGAGACAGGGAGTGGAGGTAGAAGCACACAGGAGTTCTCCACGTAACAGCAACAGTCAGGCCATACAGCTCGTGTGCATTAGTTATGTTAGAACATCACCCTGGTTATCAGATGACAACACTTGTGCCAAGGGCCACGCAGAAGACAGGGGCATTAAATACTATATGCCTATACACCTAAAAATTCTTAAAGGGGAGGATGAGGGTCAAGAGGATGGGGCCAGTCTTTTCTGTGGTGCCCAGGGACAGGACAAGAGGGAACGGGCACAAACTTGAATATAAGGAGTTCCACCTAAACATGAGGAGGAACTTCTTTGCTGTGAGGGTGGCAGAGCCCTGGCAGAGGCTGCCCAGGGAGGTGGTGGAGTCTCCTTCTCTGGAGACATTCAAACCCCACCTGGACACGTTCCTGTGGGACCTGCTCTGGGTGGCCCTGCTCTGGCAGGGGGTTGGACTGGATGATCTCCAGAGGTCCCTTCCAACCCCACATCATTTTGTGATTATTTCCTACCAAAGAATCACTCTGCTAGCAAAACAAGAGTTAAAGGGCCAGCAGACTCTGAGTGTAGTAGACCGTAACAGGCCCAGGCCATCCATAAAGTTCTCACACACCAGCTGTGCTGGAATATGAATCCTTCACAGGCCCTACTGCCTGAGGCCCAGATATGCAGACTTCAGCAGGCCACGCAGCTCAGCATCAGTTCAATAGAGCATAAATTCTATTAGTTTTTGCAGGCTAAATACTAGCAAACCTCATCTTATCTCCAGGTGACAACGCTAAACAGGAGTAAAAGCGCAAAACAGATCACAGAATCACAGAATCTTGGTGGCTGGAAGGGACCTCTGAGATCATCAAGTCCAACCCCCTGCCACAGCAGGTCCACCCACAGCAGGTCCCACAGGAACGTGTCCAGGTGGGGTTGGAATGTCTCCAGAGAAGGAGACTCCACCAGCTCCCTGGGCAGCCTCTGCCAGGGCTCTGCCACCCTCACAGCAAAGAAGTTCCTCTTCATGTTTAGGTGGAACTTCTTACGTTCAGATGTTGCTGGTGGGTCAACCGGAGGAGGGCCGTTGTCCCGTGCGACACATTTAGGAGAGATTTATTTTTCAGTCCCTCCAGTTCATCATCAGCAGATTGATTTGGTGAGGGAGAAGCAAAGTAGGCAAGAGATTAACAGGCTGACAAGACATCATGGGTATTCGAAACCATCTCAAAAGAATTACTACCTAGTCTTCTACTCAGGATTTCCAAAGGTTTAAACGCTAGGACTTTATTTTTTTTTTTGAGTAGCACATTTCTTGAGCGGACCCTAAAGCAGGAACTTTTAATTTTCTGGCTCCCAGTGGCAAGGTACCACTGATGTCAGCTGTGGCCCCCAGGGGGAGGCCAGTAGCCACCACACGATGGCGTTGACATGCCACCGAGCCCCAGTGCACCCGCCTGGCTGCCATCGGGACTGGCTGGAAGATGGGATGAGGAAAAATTTTCCATCCAAAGAAACATTTACATTCCTCTACGGCCACGTGATAAAACTGCAGTTGCTGGAGGGGAAAGCACATCGGCGAGTCCAGCAAAGACCAAGACCCTGTCTTAAGCAAGGATCCCAGTGGTTGCGTGGTGGCGCAGAGCAGAAAGGCTATCAAACTTGGAGGTGGAAATTTAGGGAAAATCCCCCCTCTGCTCAGAAAGGAAAAGCAACGTTTCAGTCTGATGTAACAGACCTCAGAGGGGAGGTACAAACAGCTCAACACCCGCACCAGGACGAGCATTTGGTTTCCAAATAAGCGTTGAAGATCCAGCCTCCAGAAGGAACTACCTCTGCCCCACAGAGGTTTGGACTTCAAGACTGGTCTAGGGAACAGCCACCCCCTTTCAAATGCTAATTCTAACCACGGAGAGTAAATTAGATTCCTAGCACTCAACTTCCCTACCTCTACAAAACCTTCTTCTTTTGTTTCTACATAAAATAAAGGCTCGAGCAGGATCCTCTCTCCATGACACACTCAGCCTTATCTTGAGTCATAGAATCATAGAATCATTGAGGTTGGAAGAGACCCTTGGGATCATCGAGTCCAACCATCTCCCCTACTCTACAAAGTCCTCCCCTACACCATATCCCTCAGCACTGCATCTAAACGTCCCTTAAACACATCCAGGGATGGGGACTCCACCCCCTCCCTGGGCAGCCTATTCCAATGCCCGACCTAGCAAGAAGCTGCAACTACAGTCATAAAACCAGAAATAAATCATTCTCTCTGCAAGGAAGGGAAATAATACAGGTCCGTGTTTTGCAGAGCGAAGAGGAGAGGGAAGAAAAAAACACTATGACTTGTACTTACTCCACATGGGTCCCACGCCGGGCATGTATTTAACCACAACAGCCAGCCATCTCTCAAGCTTGTGGTTTGGCAGTAAACACGACTCCAGTGTGCCTGAACACTGACCTAGTTGCTCAAGAGCTGACCCTGATGCTAAAACAGAAACCCTGGGTGGTTGGATGGCTCCCAAGAACGCTGACACTCGCAGAAGAGCCACCACAATAAGCAAGACACACGCGCTACGGAGTGAAGGCAGGCAGAGCTGCTGACTTGCCTAGCAATAAGGCAGGGACTGGACTTGCTACAAAAACACTACGTGCTGTGGTTTTCACACAGGCTGGTGTTCTGGAGGCCCTGCAAAAAATAGCATCATCTGCCTCTTGCTTCCCCGCCCCCCCCCCAACATGACATACCTGTCTTTGCACATAGTCCCACGCATCTTGGACGTTCCTCTGATCGTCATTCGAAGGGTCATAATCTTTAATCAGACTTTTAACTACGTCGGACAATTCGTTTCTCAGCTGGCAAGGAAAGAAAAAGCAGGAAAGTTAGTCAATCCCTTGTGGTCTTCTCTTTGGGGCTTAGGGTACAGAACAGCCCTCCCTATCACCTGTGCTAGTCCTGCTGTGGACCCACCTTCCCTCCCCCCCACGGTGGAAAAAACACAAAATTGAAGAATTATCTAGGGTTGGAAGGGATCTCTGGAGATCATCTAGTCCAACCCCCTGCCAGAGAAGGTCCACCCAGAGCAGGTCCCACAGGAATGTGTCCAGGTGGGGTTTGAATGTCTCCAGAGATAGAGACCATGGTCTCATCATCGTTATGGGTATGAAAACAGTGAATGAGCAAAAACAAACACCACAGCTAGAGATTATAAGCACTGAAAAAAAAAAGAAAAAGTGCAATGGGTAGTAGCTTCTGGTTAGTCCTTTTCCCAAGGCTCTGAAGGAAACATAGGAGCTCAGGCTATTGTGCTCCCACAATACAGGTATTTTTATGTTGCAGCAAAGAGACAGATAGAACCAGTATTAAAATCACTGGAAAATAACTATTTAATTGGCACATAAAGCAATGCTTAAAGGGGAAAAGCAACCAAGTAGCGACAAATCCCCCCAGAATGACCTTGAAATACCTTACTCTGCAGCCTTGTGTATGTTTTCGCAATAAATATGATCAACAGGATGAAACGTGGAATAGGTTTACCATTTAAATGGGTTTAACAGATAAAATCCCACCATGATGACCAGGTGGCATTTCTTGCTCAGAAAACATTTTTTTCCAGGCAAAAGTAAACACTACAAATCAACCCTGGCTTTCAATACTGCATGGTCCGCTGCTACATAAGAGGAAAGTTATTCTAGAGAAAATGAGTTAACTCCAGGGTCCTCATTTCCTCCACCAATCAGTTTCTTCTCAAGCTTATTAAGCAGACAGGAGACTTCTGCTCTGGTTCCTCAGAGGTCAAGGCTTGGAATAAATTCCTTTGCTTATTGAGTACAGCATGGTGCTTGTTACAGTGTTGATGGGAGGTACACTTGATGCACAGAGAAGTTCAGACATCAGACCAAAGAATCATGCATCCCCTTAAGGCCAGAATAGAAAGGAAACTTTTAACTCCCAAGAAAGCAAAGTTGTGGAGTCCTGAGCAAGTAAGTGTTTTGAAGTATGGAGGGCACGTGGAGATCTGCCACAGTAAAAGAGGATGCTTGGTGGCCACCAACCAACCAACCCACCCACCCAGAGTCAGAGAACAGAAACAGTCTTAGTTATGCATCAGGAAAATCCTTCCAGGAGAGATGGGAAAACAACAAAACAACTGTTCAAAGCACAAACCATCTCTAACCACAAGGTTAGAAATGGAAGAAGAAATGGACCAGAAGAAATGGCTGCAGTCCATCCCCGCTGCTCAGGGAAGGTGTGAGTCGCTCTGCTCCTGTTCACAGCTGGGGTTTTCTGACATAAAGCTGGGGGACACTTCCCTTTTTTCACAAGGCAGTGGGTGATCTGCCTCTCCCCAGGCTCCTGAAACTGCTCCTTCCACATTAAGACAGGAAGTACTACAATTATCTAAACTCCTCATTAACGGTGGGACACTTCCCTTTTTTCACAAGGCAGTGGGTGATCTGCCTCTCCCCAGGCTCCTGAAACTGCTCCTTCCACATTAAGACAGGAAGTACTACAATTATCTGAACTCCTTATCACAAAGCTGGGGTGTATCAAATCATCCCTTCACGCCCGTTCCTTATCCAGAGATATTCCAGATCTTTCACTCTGATGAGATGTGCCAGCTGCCACCTGGCAGACTCCTCCACCTTCTTCCTCCCACCTCCTTCTGAAGCTCTTCTGAGCCCTTCATGAAGCTCCTACATGAGGACAGCCGTTGCTGCTGACAGACCCAGATGCCAAGAGGTTGGGGAGAAGTGTCATTAGGCTGCTTGAGGGATGGGACAGAGCTACATCACCCTGAGCACCAGGATGCTCCCATCCCGTGTATTACCTTTTTTTCTGTGGTGCTACAGCACATTTCAGACCATTGGAAATGGTTTTTTTTCCCTTTCATTCTCCTGCCAAGCATTGCAAATGACCATGGGACAACCCCAGGGACACCCAGCAAGAGGAAGCAGCGCTTACCGTCAGAGAGAAGAAGCTTCTCTACATCAGCAACTCTTCTTCCTAGGAAAACTGCAGCTCAGCTCGCTGGGATCAGCCATGTCAGGCCAGACAGATGGGAGCTGCATGATCTTCCTTCTCATCATGTCTAGCTCTTCCCCTTTTAATTACTCCGCTTCCCCTTTTCCTTCCCTTCAAATCAAGGCAACCTGACCTGGTTCTCACTAATGAGATTGGCCTTGGCCGCTGCCATAAGCCTTATCAGTTACTAAACCTCTGAGTTCCCACCCTCACCCCTCCCACACGCTGCTGCTCCACATGCAGAGGGAGGCAAGGAGAGCTGGGTTTGTTGTCCTACCTGCCCTGGGCCCATCTAGCCCCTTAGCTACTAAGCCAGGTAGAGCCTAGTGTCACTTCTGCAAGAATCATAGAGTGGTTTGGGTTGGAAGGGACCTTAAAGATCATCCAGTTCCAACCCCCTGCCCTGGGCAGGGACACCTCCCACCAGACCAGGTTGCTCCAAGCCCCATCCAGCCTGGCCTTGAACCCCTCCAGGGATGGGGCGTCCACAGCTTCTCTGGGTAACCTGGGCCAGGGCCTCACCACCCTCATAGCAAAGAATTTCATCCTAATATCCAGTCTAAATCTCCCCTCTTTCAGTTTAAAACTGTTCCCTCCTCATCCTATGGCTTCACTCCCTGATCCAGAGTCCCTCCCCATCTCTCCTGAAGCCCCTTGAGGGACTGGAAGGGGCTCTAAGGTCCCCCAGGAGCCTTCTCCAGGATGAAGAACCCAAGATTATTCAGCCTGAAACCCTAGAAGAATCCCAGGTGGTGCCTCTGTTCTCCACCCCAGGACACCCCTACAAGCAGAGACGGGGTCTGAACCAGATGTCCCCAATCACAGCTGGGTAGGGAAGCTGCATCTCTGCTTTTCCTCTATTCTTACACAAGAAGAGGCAAGAAGTCTTACAGACAGCTCCAGTTTCAAAAACTGAAATGCTTCAGTTGAAGAAAAGCTCAGGGGTTTCTTAGGTGTTTCAGGAAGTGACTGGAGAAAGGGGGGATATTCTGGGATGTTCTGGATAGAATAAGAGAGCTCTGGAAAGTGCACACCCAGGCAGCTCTGTCACAGGGGACACACAGGCACCTGCAGCTGATCACCCTTCTGCACCTGGCAGAGCAAAACTGAAAGAGCAACAAGCTAAAAAAAGGCATCTCAAACACCCTGGCAGGCTTTCCACATCCTCCCCATCTTCACCCACTTCAGGCCTGTCAGGACCTGGTGCCTCGCAGAGCGCCATGGCTCCAAGAAATGGCCACCTTTGGTCTCTGGGCTCCTGCTGCTCCCCAGCTCTGGCCAGGGAGGGACAACCTGCCACCCCACAGCAGGGATGGACATCCAAAGCCTTGGCAGCAACACCCCCATGAAGCAGCAGGGCTGTCAAGTCTCCCTTCAACAGCAGGGATGGACATCCAAAGCCTTGGCACCAACACCCCCATGAAGCAGCAGGGCCGTCAAGTCTCCCTTCACAGAGGGAGAGGGAGGGAAGAAGAGGGAGCTGGGGAAAAGGGAATGCCAGGAGGAAGAGCCATAGGGCTTGGATTCCAGTCTCCATCAAGGAATGAATCACCCAGGTGTCTTCCACTGGTCATCTATCCTGTCCCTCTGTCCGAGGCTCAAGCTAGATCACAGAATCACAGAATCTTCTAGGTTGGAAGGGACCTGAAAGATCATCTTGTCCAACCGTCAACCTGACTGACAAAAATAGACACCCACACAACAAACAAGAAGCATCACCATCACTAAACCAGACCTCCCAGCACTACATCAACCCGTCTTTTGAACACCTCCAGGGATGGTGCCTCAACCACCTCCCTGGGCAGCCCATTCCAATGGCTGATAACCCTTTCAGTGAAAAAATTTTTCCTAATATCCAGCCTGAACCTCCCCTGGCACAACTTGAGGCCATTTCCTCTTGTCCCATCACCTGTGACTAGGGAGAAGAGACCGACCCCCACCTCTCTACACCCTCCTTTCAGGGAGTTGGAGAGAGCAATAAGGTCTCCCCTCAACCTCCTCTTCTCCAGGCTGATCCTTCCCAGAGCATTTATCAGCACACAAAAATAGGCTCAAAAAAAAAAAAAAATCAAAAAATCCCAGGAGGGGGCTCTCACTCTCTCCCCCTTTCTCCCCCCCAAGTCCCTTCAGATTTTGGAACTAATGCACCAGTAGCCCCAGGCGAGTTGCTGCAGCAATCAGAGGGGCCTGTTTGCTGCAAACAATAGCTGGCAAGTAGGGCAATTCCCAAAAGACCACTTGCTCTCCTTCGCTCAAGGCATTTAGAGCCAAGAACTGTGTGAACTAGGCCAGCAGGGACCTTGCCCGGGCTCTGGCACGCACGTTGAGAGACTCCTGAACACCACTAGATGCTCGTGAGATGTAGGCGAGGAGTTAACATCCAGCTCACAAAGAAAAATGTGACACTTGGGGGCATTTTTGTTGCCCCTAAAAAAAAAAACCCCAGCCCATCTCACAGTTTCAGTCGCCACCACATGTAGGGAAATGGGTGCTGCATCAACATCCTCCCAGTAGTAGTGGGCAATTCCAGTCTGAAGGGGGATTCCTCTAGCAATGGTCATGGGGGAGGCTTGGCCTTTCACACTTAACACTATTTCAGAATAATAATTTCATATATCAGGGGTGGGGAAAGATTTTCGATGCTGAAAATGACGAGATATTCCAATAAAATAAAAAAAAACACACCCAAGAAACACAACAAAAAACAAGTGAATCTGTTTGATAGCCACTAATGAAGGAAAGGGCAGGTAGAGAGGAGTACAGCAATAATTCTGTCTACTTTCTTCCAGTGCAGAAATAAATATTTCAGTTACAAGAAGTGGAGGAGTGAGGGTCACCGTGCTCCATCCTGCACCCAGGAGCCTTTCCCCTGCTCTTGTTATTCCTCTTTTTAGATCTAACCCAGTTCCTGAAGCCAGAAGGAAGTAAACAGGAGGAACACGACAGAGGGGGTCCAGGGATTGGATAAATAAATTGGCCTTAAATAGAAGGTCCCTAGAAGAGACTTTCCTCCAAGTTTTGTTCACTCAGGAGCAATTTTTCAAATTGCTCCCCCCCACTGTTCTGCTGGATCCATCTTTTATTCTCTCCCTGGTCTGGCTGAGGTTGAAACGAAGAGTTACAGCTCAAAAGCTGGGAGTTTTCTAGAGTGGAGCGACAGCTGGAGGAGAAATACCAAGGAGGGACCGGAATTTCATGGTCCGAAAAGCCGCATTTCCCCACCGCAGGGGAATGCCCACCCCCACACCTCCTCCTCTGCCTTAGTCAGAGCTGTGAAGCTGCGAATCAGCAGCTTGTTTAAAGCTCCAGCTTCACCCAGCAGCTGCCCAATGCTTCAGTTTCTCCTTCGGCTCCAGCCAGCCCAGAGAGCAAGCCAGCCACATCCCCACGTTTGGCAAGGAACCCAGTCAACAGCTGGTCCCAGTCACTTCTACAAAGCTCAGCTCAGCCATGCTGGGGGCAGGCACCGCTCCCCCCGTCCCCAAACTTAAAATCATAGAATTGCCTACGTTGGAAAAGACCTTTCAGATCATTGAGTCCAACCATCAACCTAACACTGACAAAAACCATCACTAAACCATGTCCCTCAGCACCACATCTGCCTGGCTTTTAGATCCCTCCAGGGATGGTGCCTCAACCCCTCCCCTGGGCAGCCCATTCCAAGGCTTCATAACCCTTTCAGTGTAAATATTTTCCCTAATATCCATCCTAAACCTCTCCTGGTGCAACTTGAGGCCGTTTCCTCTTGTCCCATGGCCTGTTCCTTGGGAGAAGAGACCGACCCCCCCTGCCCTCAGCCTACTTTCAGGGAGCTGAAGAGAGCGAGAAGGTCTCCCCTCAGCCTCCTTTTCTCCAGGCTGAACACCCCCAGCTCCCTCAGCCTCTCCTCACAAGACTTGTGCTCCAGACCCCTCACCAGCTCCATTGCCCTTCTCTGGACCCGCTCCAGCCCCTCAATGTCCCAAAAGACGTTGGACACAGCCCTCGAGGTGGGGCCTCCCCAGTGCCCAGTACAGGGGGACCATCACTGCCCCAGTCCTGCTGGCCACACTGTTCCTGATACAGGCCAGTGTGCTGGTGGCCTTCTTGGCCACCTGGGCAAAGCCAGCAGGGACCCCACAGTTATAACTTGCTCCCACCACATGAATGCTGCTGCCAGTCCAGCTGTCAAAGAGCCAGAGACCTACCCAGTGAACCTACAGCCTGGATGGGCTGTTGCAATGCACTTAAGTAGCTCAGAAGATCTGCCCAAGCCTACTGGAGCTCTAGAAGCACACACTGTGAAACTGCGTTCCTGACAAAGAGAGCCACTTCAAAATATCAACAGGAACCGTCACATACTTGGGTTTGCTCTTGGGGAAAGAGGATAGCTCTTCCAAGGAGAGGTTTACATAGGGATGCAGAAGGGCTGAAAGGACAGAATGAGGTGACACAACGAGGGAGGCACGTCTGAAAAGCAATCACTCAGGCTGGTAACGCCTCAAGGCGTCAGTGGTGGCAAGATGGTACCACTACACGCCCAAATAAATAGTCTGCAGCAGGATCAAGAGCAGGCATGGTCAAAAGCATTTCAGGAGTTTCTTTTTCCTGTCCCCACGGCCCAAAAATCAGGCCTGTACACCAAGCAGAGCTTCATAATCACAGAATGATATGGGGCTGGAAGGGACCTCTGGAGATCATCCTTGAGAAAGCAGCACTGCAGAGGCTTGGCAGAGACAGAAGCAGCAAACTGTAGAGCAAAGCTGCTGAGCTGGGGTAGAAGAAAAGGGAATGCAGTTTTGCCTGCTAATGGTATAGCCCAGTCATGAAGAAAGAATTTCCAGGTGTCTCCTGTTCCCCCAAACCAAGACCAAGGAAAACACGCACAGCAAGAAACACTTACATTATCTTTCTGGAAGTAGATGAGCACTCCAGCACCAACCTGAGTTAAGAGGATCACCAACAAGCAGGTGAAGTACTGGAAACAAAAGAGAAGAGATGATCACTATCAAGCCTTTCGAAAGGTGTGTAACGTAACAGCCCAAGTTTTAGTAAGATTTTGTACACAGGAGAAGTGACAACCCTGAACCAACACCTTTGCCTGCAGACAAGCTCTGCTATCAACACCAGTCTCCCCAGTAAGAGGTTTCAGTACGAGCATCTACATCACACCAGTGCACTTCAGCACTCCTCCCATCAGGTCAAAGGAAAGACTTCAGGAGGGAGAGGATTTCCAAGCACCTTCTGCACGTGTCATTCCAGCTGGGACTCCCTCTCCCACCTCCAGCTCCATTCCCAGTCCACTCTGACCTCAACCAGTTGGACTGTGCATACCCCAAGCCTCTACAGCAAGAAAAGTCAATTTCACAAACCTTTTTTTTTTCAACTATGTGTAAAATCAATTACCTTTTTTAAAAAAAAAAACCAACAAACAGCTATTTCATTTTTTTGAGGATCTAAATTTAAGATTTACCTGCTTTTAAGGAAAGTCTGACATTCTAGGGTTACTTTTAAATGGTGGTAGCTATTACCATTACATTAGGAGATGTTCCTCATGCCAGGACACACAATGGGTTTCCTGTACACATGTGCTCTGGATAAGGAGGAGTCAAGCAGCAGGCTGAGGTGCATGAAGCCTCGTCACCTCATCCATCGCAGCCATAAAATCTTCCTAAAGTCTGAGGAGAGGTCCTGACATGCAGGACATTCCTAGTCAAGTCTCTTTCAAGTCTTGCACTTTCCACAGAAGCTGAACTTTCATAGAATCACAGAATGATATGAGGTTGGACAGGACCACTGGAGATCATCTAGTCCAACCCCCTGCCACAGCAGGGCCACCCAGAGCAGGTCCCACAGGAACGTGTCCAGGTGGGTTTGAATGTCTCCAGAGAAGGAGACTCCACCACCTCCCTGGGCAGCCTCTGCCAGGGCTCTGCCACCCTCACAGCAAAGAAGTTCCTCCTCGTGTTGAGATGGAACTTCTTATGTTCAAGTTTGTGCCCGTTCCCTCTTGTCCTGTCCCTGGGCACCACTGAAAAAAGCCTGGCCCCATCCTCCTGACACCCACCCTTGAAGTATTTATAGGGGTTGATCAGATCCCCCCTCAGCCTTCTCTTCTCCAGACTAAACAGACCCAAGTCCCTCAGCCTTTCCTCATCAGAGAGATGCTCCAGGCCCCTCATCATCTTTGTAGCCCTCTGCTGCACACTCTTCCAGCAGTTCCCTGTCCTTCTGGAACTGGGGAGCCCAGAACTGGTCCCAGTGCTCCAGATGGGGCCTATCTTTGCAGCACATCAGGGACACTGTCACTCTTTCTCTTCTTCCTCGCTGCCCTTGATACTTGCCCTTGCACCACTGAAAGCACAACACTAACTGGGAAGTCGGGGTGAGGTAGAGGGTCAGCTGGGACACATTTCCTCAGCTGGTAGTCCTAAACCCACTGTTTGCAAGAAGTGGTGGTGACATCCCCTCTCATTTCGCAGAGTTATTAGCTCATCATCACTAACATCTGAGGAACCACTGCTGCTGACTGCTGGAGAACTTCATGTGTGCAAATCAGGAACTGGACCTAAGTTGACGTAGCATCAGGAAGTACCATCCCCAGGAGACTGGAGCCCCAGCTACAATCCAATAGATATTTTGCAGGAAAAGTATGAAAAGGTGGATCTAAAAACATAGCATGAATTGTCTCACCAGACCCAAGAGACATCGGATTTCATTGACTGCTCCAAGACAGCCCAGGAACCCCATCAGCATGGTGAGAGCTCCAATACCAATCAGGATGTATGCACCAGTCTTCAGGGAGGGAGATGACAGCTCTGTAGGGGTCAGGAGAGAGAACAGAATTAGCTACTGACAAAAATGACATCTGCCATCACCATTTAGAGAACCACCTCCGTATCTGCTTGTAACAGTCTGTCATCTTCTACAAAGGGACTGCACAGAGGCACATGGAGCTTGGAGACAGAAAGCAGGTTCTGGGTGTCTTCTGATGAAGGAAGACTTCCAAAGCCAACCTGCAGGTCTCCATTATCTCAGAGCCTGGAAGACTCATGGTCACTCCAGACAAATGAACCTTGTTTGGAGAAAATTAGCAAGCTGCTTACTGGATATTTAACTCCCTCCTGAATGCACTCCAAGTGAGAGTAAGAAAAAAAATGTTCTACTCCACAACTACTGCCTCTTTGCTTCAATTCCCTTCGCTCTCTTCAGGGAAGCTTTTTCTCCCGAGTCCTAAAAACCCTTTTTGGTTTGGCTTTTCACTTTAAGGCCCTATTCCTTCTTCCAGCCATTCTGTTTTCACTCGTCCACTTGCAGTCAGCAGTGGAACGAAACACAACACAAGAGCTAGTGTCAGGCCAAATGATGTGACAGGTTAAATGACAAGCAAAGTGTTGAATGGCTTGTGGCCAGCACCCGTGTATGACCCCCTGCAAACAGATGCTATTCCAGGATCAAAACAGATATCGTGCCCAAAATTAGCTACTTTTACATATCCTCCCCTGCTATTGTGTCTGGAGTGACTCTGCTTGTGAACACTCAACAGGTTTTTCAACCCAGTTGAGGTAATATTATTATTATTTCAGACATGCTGGTGCTGCCAGTCCTCTCCCTTCGACACTTAGTACTGTGAGCAGCAGAAGGAACAAGCTCTTACATTTGGGTTGGTCACAGGACTATTTCTTGCAGAATACGATTGGAGGGAGCAGCGTTACAGCACGAAAGCTGAAGAGATTCCGTCTAGAAATAGTAACCAGAAACCTCATTTATCATTAAGGGACACTCTTAAAGCTGGGAGTTGCACAGTGTAAGGGGATTCCCGATGTCCACTGATTAATGACAATAATGTTCCTAGAGCTGAGCATTTTAGTTTCCTGAGCAGAAGTCCCTGGAGGCAAACTTCCCCCGAGCTCCTGCTGAAATAGGTTAAGAGACAGTAACTGAATCCAGACTAACTCTCTCCTCACTAACACATACCTCCCCCAGCTTCTGATACCTGGGTGGAAGTCACCAGCTTCCAAACTTTTTTTCCCCCTAGAATGTGCCGAATAGAGGAAAAAGATCAGTTATCCAAAAAAGTGAACCAGAGCTGTTGGCCACACGGGTCACTTCAGCCTCGATTCATTCCCAGGCCAGGTTCTCCCTGGCTGGACATGGGTCACAGACACCAGGGTGCTGCTCATCCGTCCTCCACCAGTCCCAGGACCCTTGCTGTGCATTTTAGGCACTGATATTGCAAAGGATTTACTGAAGTAGTAGCCTTACAGGGGTGGTCTTCACCAGACTATGCCGTTTCCTCCCCCAAAATCTGCTCGGCCACCCTACGAGCGTTCAAGTGCTCGGGTGGCAGCACCTCGAAAGCGCTTCCTTTAGTCAACTCTGACCCAGAAGAAAGAGAAAGGACGGTGATGGGGGGGGACAAGGAGCTGTGATTTCACTTCTCCTCTGCGATACGCCTCGTCTTGCAGGAGAAGGCTTTGCTGGCAGGAGGAGTCCTGCTCTGTTTGCTGTCACGCCGTGTTTTCCCCCGCGCTGGGCAGGGGGCCAAGGGAGGACAAGAGGCTCCCTTTGGCAGCAGGGCCCGAGTGCCCTGCTGTGCCGGGCTCCTTCCCCATGCCCGGGTTACTAAAGCAGAGGGGGGAAAAAAAAAACAAAAAACAAAACAAAAAAAAAAAGAGGCAAGGCCTGGGAAAGGAAGCGAGGGGGCAGGGAGAAAGAGCTGATGCTGGAAATCTCCAGGAAGGAAGCTAGATCCTTAAACTGCTGCTCTGTTAGCAGAGATTCTGGGTAAAATGGGAAGGAGCAGAGCCAAGCTCGGGGACTTTGTGCCTCAAGAAGTGGCAGCAGCACCCGTCCACCAGGGCTGGGGGAACCTCACCCCATCCACCAGGTCTGAGGGAACCTCACCCCATCCACCAGGGCTGGGAGAACCTCACCCCATCCACACCAGGGCTGGGGGAACCTCACCCCGTCCACACCAGGGCTGGGGGAACCTCACCCCAACCACCGGTCTGGGGGAACCTCACCCCGTCCACCAGGTCTGGGGGAAACCTCACCCCATCCACCAGGGCTGGGGAAACCTCACCCCAACCACCAGGGTTGGGGGAACCTCACCCCGTCCACCAGGCCTGGGGGAACCTCACCCATCCACCAGGGCTGGGGGAGCCTCACCCCGTCCACCAGGGCTGGGGGAGCCTCACCCCGTCCACCAGGGCTGGGGGAGCCTCACCCCAACCACCGGTCTGGGGGAACCTCACCCCGTCCACCAGGGCTGGGGGAACCTCACCCCGTCCACACGGGCTGGGAGAACCTCCCCCCGACCTCACCCCATCCACCAGGGCTGGGGGGACCTCACCCCATCCACCAGGGCTGGGGGAACCTCACCCCGTCCACCAGGTCTCGGGGAACCTCACCCCGTCCACCAGAGCTGGGGGAACCTCACCCCGTCCACCAGGGCTGGGGGAACGGCTGCTGGTACCAAACAGCACCTCAGACCATGAAGCATCTATAGCAAATAGCCAGGCTGTGATACAGGGTACAGTTACAGCCCTGCAAAAGCCCAGGCTCTGCTAAGGAGGCTGAGTTTTTTGGCTGTTGCAGAAGGCAGGCCCTCTGTTAAGAGTCAGCTCCATGCTGACCCAAAGGGGAAGGAGGCCAGCTCCTCCCACGTGCAGCAACACAAAGATTCGACAGAGTTGGAAGGGACCTTCTAGAGACCATCCAGTCCAACTCCCCTGCCAAAGCAGGGCTGCCCAGAGCACATCACTCAGGAGCATCCAGGTGGGGCTTGAAGATCTCCAGAGAAGGGGACTCCACACCCTCCCTGGGCAGCCTCTTCCAGGGCTCTGCCACCCTCACCCCAAAGAAGTTCTTCCTCATTTTTGAGTGGAACTTCCCATGGTCCAGCTTGTGCCCGTTGCCCCTCGTCCTATCGCTGGAAACCACCGAAAAGAGTCTGGCTCCATCATCCTTCAACCCACCCTTTAGGAAATTGTAAACATAGATGAGGTCTCCCCTCAGTCTTCTCTTCTCCAGGCTAAAGAGCCCCAGCTCTTTGAGCCTTTTCTCGTAAGGGAGATGCTCCAATCCCTCCATCATCTCTGTTGCCCTACGCTGGACTCTCTCCAGCAGTTCCCTGTCCCTCTTGAACTGGGGAGCCCAGAACTGGATGCAGGATTCCAGTTGTGGCTCCACCAGTGCAGAGCAGAGGGGGAGAATGACCTCCCTCTACCTACTGGCCACACTTCTCCTTATGGAGCCCAGGATTCCATTGGCCCTCTTGGTGACAAGGGCACATTGCTGGCTCATGGAGATCCTGCCATCCACCAGGACCCCCAGATCCTTTTCCTCTGTAGTACTCCCCAGAAGATCCACCACACCACTGCTGACGGCCAGGCTAAGCCTCCTGAAGCGTATATACTCGAGTATGTTTTAGAAGTCAGAGCACTGAGGACTTCACAGACCCACACACCTTCCATCCCCCCTCAGATCTACATCCTCTGCTGCTTAGGAACAAACACACTGGCTACTTTCAGTGTACATGAAGCATTGATAAGACCAGGTACTTACTTTCTTTGGCATTTAAAAGAGTCAAATTGAAATAGCTCACTACAGAAAGCAGTGGGAGCACAGGGGACTTGCACAGCAAAACTACACTGAGGCATTGGGGGCTTTGGGACACAATGGTAATAGGGAAACTGTTGTGGAAACACAAAGCACGCAGTGAAAACAGCTAAACGCTAGTCCCTGTGTTTACGATGAAATATTTGGATTGTTGGCAATGGTCTCTCTCAATCTGACCCCGGTGTTGCAAGATGAGGAGGAACGCTGTTGTCTCCAGGGTTGCTGCCTTTCACCCTGTTCCTGACAGAGCCCCGTCTCGCTGTACACCACGTTACTGCTCAGGTCACTCACTGCACATAAAAGTATTGCCATCCCTGGACTACACCATGGTCAAGCACAGCCCCGGGCTAGAGTCAATTCAGAAGGAGAAAGAAGATGAAGAAACAGGATCTTACGTAGAACCGCAATGAAACTGGTTTTGTCGGCCAGAATCCATACTCCAAAACCCAGGATCACAGCGCCCAGGATCTGAAAGAGTAGACACACAAAGGCCTGTTAGTTTAGACAATTAGGAAGAGGCAGCCACCCTTCTCCAAACTTGCAGGGTAAAAAACAATCATTCTTTTGCTGTTCCCACCCATCTCCCCCACGGCACTCCTCCCAAAGTAAACAGGATTAGCATGACTCCAGGAAGAGCGCCTTGGCCAACGGCACAGGAACCCCAGGTTCTGCTTGGCAGCCCTTCACAGGGTATTAGATGATGTTCTATAGGGGGACCAGTTCAAAACAGCCTGAGGAAGAGACACCCTGCTGCTAGAACCTTGTTGTCAGAAGCAAAAGGTAAGTGCACTGCTTCTGTGAAGAACCGCGGAAGGACAAACACATCCAGCACGTGATTTTGAAGATATTTTTGAATAGAGAAATCCCTGACCCTACGGGACCAGGCTGGGAGGCAGTTGCCAAAGGATTAGATATCTGGCAGATATCTGGAACCTTCCCAGGAAGGAAATCTTCAGCTTGTCAGGCTCTGTTATAACCTTATGGCTTCAACCCACAAATGCAAAAAAAAAAAACCAAACCCCAGCCCAGCAGCCTTCACTTTGCATGTGGTTTCCCTTGGGTGAAGTGCTTCACCCCTTCCAAAGCCAAGCTCAGGCCGTTTGGCTTGGCCACAATTGTGTGATGGAACACCCCAGCACCTCCAGCCAAGGCATCTTACCACCACCAAAGAGCCAAACCTTACGAGACATCGGCCACGGTCTCTGCCTTGCTCACTACGTGGCCTTATCTAGGGCAAGGATTAGTAGAGCGATACGTCCCCGTGGAGACTCAGCTGAATCCAGGCACTGAATGGAGAAGGCAGGAGATACACAGTTTTCCCATCTCCTTTTGAAGGAGGGGAAGAAAATAAAGAGAACTTAAATGTCTCTTCCAACCTAGATAATTCTCTGATTCTACGCTGTTTTAGCTTTCAGGTGTCACCACGTTTTATACTACACTGTGAGGTGTTTGCACACAGGTGACACCAGCTCCCACATGAAGATGACAGCACCATTATATCCATAATAAAGCGACTAGGCTGAGAAGCTTGTGAAGTCTGCAGGTTTGATAACAAGCTGAAACTTGTGCCCTTCAGCAAACTAGAAGTGGCAAAGGCTGGAAACCACTTCCTGTGCAAAGATGTAAAACAGACTTTGAAGAAACGAGGGAAGAAGGAACGCAAGTGAGATGCTTCCAGAGGACGTGAACTGGAAGCAGCAGTTCTTACACCAGCAGGATTTCAAGATAGGACGAAGTGAAATACTAAATAAACCAACGGGGGTGAAGAGACATTGCAATTCTGTGCTTCGTTAGACAACGTTCCAACATTTGGGAGACAAGGGAAAGGCCAACCCACCACCTGAAGCAAGCTGGCAGAGAGGGATGTATGGACAGGCACTGGCTCCACATTTTGAAAGTTTACACTGCGCTTCAGCTCCTCATACAAAGAAGCTTTTCTGAGCAAAGACAAAGCAAGAGTCTAAAATAAGCTGCTTGCAAGCTTTCCTGGCCTGGCTGAGGGCACAACATGCTCTGGGGATAGGATTAGAAAGTCACCAAGCAAGTTCCTGTCCGTGAAGATGGATGAAGACGACTGACTCGGCTGCAGAAAGCACGTAGCTGCCATATCCCAGAAAAAGAAAAAAAAAAAGCTACAAAGACAAGATGGCAGTAACAAGAATCCCCCCGTTGCCTTATGTCCCAACACGCTGCACGGCAGCACCCGGTCTCCTGATCAAACCAGAAAGGCCCCCTTGAACACACAACAGCTGTGAGGCCTCAAAAATTCCTCACAGCCTTGGTATTGCCAAGAACTGCTGAATTTACAGTTTGAGGCAGTCTCACATTTAAACCATTGTCTTAATAAAATATTTGTCTGAACAAAGATGCAAACCGGGCTGTGTGTGACATCTCTCTTGGCTCGCTGACCCCGAAATGTCACCTAAGTTTTGCTGTTGCTGACAAAAGGCAGAACGGCTGCTGAGCTGAGTTCCTGGGAAGTTATTTGTCAGGAGGTGCTCAGGCTACCCAAGGTCTGTTTGCAGGCTGATCTTTGCTCTAGTCCACAGCTCGCACAGTTTGCCAGGAGCTGCTGTGGAAAACACTAAAAAAAGGGAAGGCAGGAAGAGTTAGCCACAGGGAGAAAACGCTGTCCTATTTGCGGACGATACCAAGCTGTGTGGTGTTGTCAATACACCAGAGGGATAGGATGTCATCCAAAAGGACCTGGACAGGCTGGAGAGGTGGGCCCAGGTGAACCTCATGAGGTTCCACAAGAGCAAATGCAAGGTTTTGCACCTGGGCCGGAACAATCCTCGCCACCAATACAAACTGGGGGGTGAGGGATTGGAAAGCAGCCCTGAGGAAAGGGACTTGGGGGTGCTGGTGGAGGAGAAGCTGGACATGAGCAGGCAGTGGGCAGCTGCAGCCCAGAAGGCCAATCCCATCCTGGGCTGCATCAAAAGATGCGTTGCCAGCAGGTCCAGAGAGGGGATTCTGCCACTTTACTCTGCTCTGGTGAGACCTCACCTGGAGTATTGTGTGCAGGTCTGGAGCCCTCAATATAAGAAGGACATGGACCTGATGGAGAGGGTCCAGAGGAGGGCCACAAGGATGATCAGGGGGATGGAGCACCTCTGCTACGAGGACAGGCTGAGGGAGCTGGGGTTGTTCAGCCTGGAGAAGAGGAGGCTCCAGGGAGACCTAATAGCAGCCTTCCAGTACCTGAAGGGAGCCTACAGGAAGGCTGGGGAGAACCTGTTTAGAAAGGCCTGTAGTGACAGGACGAGGGGCAATGGCTTCAAGCTGGAGGGGAACAGATTTAGACTGGAGATGAGGAGAGGGTTCTTCACTGTGAGGGTGGTGGAGCACTGGAACAGGTTGCCCAGGGAGGTGGTTGAGGCCCCTTCCCTGGAGATATTCAAGGTGAGGCTCGATGAGGCCCTGGGCAACCTGGTCTAGTTGGGGGTGTCCCTCCTGACTAGGTCGGACTGAGGTCGGACTAGATGACCCTTGGAGGTCCCTTCCGGCCTGGGAAATTCTATGATTCTATGATTATCAACAGTTAATTTACCTCCTAGCAGGACAGTGTATCTGCTCGGCATCTTCAGGAGTTTGCACCACACAGCGAGGGTGTTTCTGCTGCTGCCTTGGCTTCAGACCCTCCAGAGAAGGTAGGAGCCTTCTGCTCCATTTACAGAAGGCTTAGAATATATAACTCTCTGTCCTGCTTCTAAACAAACATTCTCCAGAGACTGTTGGACGGGTCTGACAGAACTGTCTTCCCTTTAAGGAGAAGCATCTGCTACGGCCCATGTCTTCTACCCCAGACGGTAGAGATGTGTTGAGTTTTGATAAGAGAAACTAAACTTATACTCTAACCTTCTGGTCTTTTTATCTTTTATCTTTATTTGGCAAGCAGTCCAGCTAACCTTCTTCCCTTTAACCAAAGCAGGTCAAGCCCTTCCCTGAAATAAGGCCCCAAGACTGCAAAATACCACCAAGTCCCTGAACCACTTCTGCTATAGCAAAGGAGATTCTACCAGACCTCCAGCAGTAGAGAAGTGCTATTTCAACGACTGACTAACTTCTAAATGAGTCACTAATGTGGTTCTAAAAAGCTTAATTCACCAGGCTGTCTGGAGCGTGTCTTCCAGCGAGGACTGACCTGCACATGGGGCAACCACAGAGGCTCAGCTCAAGGTCCTGAGCAGACACAGAGCTCCTTCCCCAACATGAATGGTCACGCTCATGCAAGCTCCCTCCTCACCAAAACTCAGCAGCTCTGGGAAAGCACCGTGAGGGATGCAGAACCTGGGAGCCCACAGCAACTCAATTTTCTCTGCTAGATTAATGCTGATCTCCCACGTTGTATGAGATCAAGAATACCTCCCCCATTTAGAGCTTGAACAACCCTAATGGAAAAAGCTTCTCATCTCAACGACTTCCTATGACAGTGAGAAAGTAATGGATACCACCTCCCTCAACAGCTGGCACGTGCAAAATGCCTGCCATGAGTCAAGACAGAAGCACGCTCAAAATCTTTGCTCCAGAGAAGGATCAAGCTCCCCACCAGGACAGAGAGGCTTTGGAGGGAAAGACAGTGCCTTCACGAAGAGCTTATTAAAGTAGCTTCTCCCTTCAGTCAGCACAGAGCTCCTCACATCCCACCTTAAAACTCAGTCTCCAGCCCCAGCTCAGTGCATCAGACCAGCTTTCCCCAAGAGGGAGGGAGGCTGGAAACTACACCAGAGGAGCTGGTTTGGAACAGGGTAAAGGATAAAGGATATCACAGGATCAAGAACAGCTGCTTCCCATCACTTGGCAACCCAGGCAGGAGCCCTCAAGCCTCCCCAGGACCCATGGAGGGATTCAGCGCCTCCCGTCCTCCTCGTCTTGCAAAATATAGGAAAATGCTTTTCAGCAGACGTGGGTTACCCTGAGAAAGCAGCTCAACTCCCCACGGGCTGCCTGTGACCATGTCTGGCTCAGCAGAGAGGGGAGAGGAAGGCAACTGATAGCATCCAGCAAAACCAGCCACAGTGTTGTAAGGCACCGCAGCATTTCAGGCCGTCATCTTTCCTCCCAGGTTGGCTTTCTAGATGAGAACCTTCTCTCTGCAGAGGTTAGCTAATGAACTGGGACCTGGGGTTAGGGATAAAGAAGGCAAGGCAGCACCCAGGGACTGGCCTTCAGCAAGACTCAAACACTGCCTTGACAAAGGCAGCTCTGCTTCCCAGGGTAGACTGGTTGATCACTTTCAGCAAGACTCAAACACTGCCTTGACAAACGCAGCTCTGCTTCCCAGGGTAGTCTGGTTAATCAATGAGTCTTAGAATGGTTTGAGTTGGAAGGAACCTTAAAGACCATCCAGTTCCCACCCCCTGCCCTGGGCAGGGACACCTCCCACCAGACCAGGTTGCTCCAAGCCCCATCCAGTCTGGCCTTGAACCCCTCCAGGGATGGGGCAGCCACAGCTTCTCTGGGCAACCTGGGACAGGCTCTTACCACCCTCACAGCAAATAAGTTCTTCCTGAGATCTCATCTAAATCTCCCCTCTTTCAGTTTAAAACCATTCCCCCTCCTCCTATGGCTCCCCTCCCTGATCAAGAGTCCCTCCCCATCTCTCCTGGAGCCCCCTGAGGGACTGGAAGTCCCTCAGCCTGTCCTCACAGCAGAGGGGCTCCAGCCCTCTCATAGTGTTTGTGGCCTCCTCTGGACCTGCTCCAACAGGTCCATGTCCTTCCTGTGCTGAGGACTCCAGAGCTGGACACAGAGCTCCAGGTGGGGTCCCACCAAAGCAAAGCAGAGGGACAGAATCCCCACCCTTGCCCTGCTGGCCACGCTGCTGGGGATGCAGCTCATCAAGTTCAAGCCCATGTGCCAGCAGCACAGCGCAGCCATGCAGGCAGCGAGAGGGAAGTTGCATGCTGGAAGGTCATCCTCCTCCTCTGCTCTGCCCTAGGGAGGCCCCATCTGGAGCACTGGGACCAGTTCTGGGCTCCCCAGTTCCAGCAAGAAAGAGAACTGCTGGAAATGGGACAGCAGAGGGACACAAAGATGATGAGGGGCCTGGAGCATCTCTCTGATGAGGAAAGGCTGAGGGACTTGGGTCTGTTTAGTCTGGAGAAGAGAAGGCTGAGGGGGGATCTGATCAACACCTATAAATCCTTCAAGGGTGGGTGTCAGGAGGATGGGGCCAGGCTTTTTTCAGTGGTGCCCAGGGACAGGACAAGAGGGAACGGACACAAACTTGAACATAGGAAGTTCCACCTAAACATGAGGGGGAACTTCTTTGCTGTGAGGGTGGCAGAGCCCTGGCAGAGGCTGCCCAGGGAGGGGGTGGAGTCTCCTTCTCTGGAGACATTCAAACCCCACCTGGACACGTTCCTGTGGGACCTGCTGTGGGTGGCCCTGCTCTGGCAGGGGGTTAGACTAGATGATCTCCAGAGGTCCCTTCCAACCTCATATCAATCTGTGATTCTGTGACAGAGACCAGAAAGCAGCGGTCACCTTATCACGCTTCATTTCCCTCCCTGCCTGGCCCTTCCTTCCCTTTACACGCTGCACAAAGGGTAATAATATCAGACAGGCTATTTTCTTGCTAATATGTGGAAAGCTGAACCCTTGTGCTTCCCTGCTACACCATCTCACTCCAGGAGGGACAGCACCAACAGTACCATCACCATCCCTGAACCCTTGTGCTTCCCTGCTACACCATCCCACTGCAGGAGGGCAGCACCATCGACATGACACACAATACCTAAGCTTCTCCAAAGGATGCATGCAAGAACATGTGTGGCCCACCCAGGCCCACTCTCATCTTTTGGTGAGCCTCACGCTTGAGAATAACTGCATCCAGTGGGCAGCCTCATTTCTCCAGGCCAGTCTGCCCCAGTCTCCCCTCCCCACCTCCCAACTCCATTTCAAATAGAGGACTTGGACTAATTCATCTTGTTAAAAAATCAAAACCAGCCGTTGGGACTCGAGCAAAATTAAGAGCCGTTCTTTGAAGCTTGCCTGGCCTATTTAGGAGGGCACTGCTATTACTTGGCAGGTTTTATAGCTCTGCTGCTCAGAGGCAGCTCAGCTGCTGCTCCAGATGTGGCAGGGAAAGTAGTTATAACTACTCTCCTCCCAGAAACGACCCGTGACTCCTCTTTTCCCTTCCCCTTGCAGGAAGGGAGCTGTGTGCCCTGGAGACAGCAGGTGGGTGCTGGGAGCAGAGCTGCTCGACGTACCCTGGAGCTGCACAGCAGCTCTGACAACCCACAGCTTCAGGGATTCCCTCCCTCCTTCCAAAAACTCTGGCCATTTTATTTAATGAACATACTGGGCAAACATCCAGGAAAAAAAAAAAACCCTTTCCAGCTAATTTTAGTCCAGTTCTTCCTATCTACTTTGCAGATGCCCACGATACTTACAAGGAACAGGAGATTGAAGAGGAAGAGGAAGTACTTGGTGACTTTTAGGCAGCCAGACCCCATCTTCTTTCACTTAAGGGACCTAAGGGGGAAAGCAGACAGACAATCAGTTATGTTAGTGACAGGTCCTCCAGGCAGTTTCAGAGCAACACCCTTGCAGAGCTGGCTCAAAGCTCTGGATCATCTGGAGGGTCTCAGACCAGACCCACAGAAAGCACATGCTCCATAGACTGCCCAAGTTTCCTTTTCAGGGCAGCAAAACAGGAGCCCACCAGCACCACCACAAGTACAAACAGCCACTGCTGCCAAGATCTCCTGCAGAGTGACAGAGGGCTGTCAGCAGTTAGAGAAGGGATTTAATCACAAAGACACCGCTAATTCCATCGCTGTTTATATGGACTTTGCATTAATAGCATCAACCAAAACACCAACTGTGGCTACACTCCCAGCAGAGAACAGGGATGCACTTATCTGAAGAAGGAGCTCGCAAGGCCAGCTCCCTCCTTCAGAAGATCTCATCTCCTCGTGACCCCTAAGCAGCTGAAGGAACATGGAAGAGAAAGGCCAAGGGGTCAATTTAAAAGGCAGCATTAAATCAAGCTTCCCGTGCACAACTCAGCACCTGATGCTCTGACAACCAGCAGCTCTGCTCCACGGTCACACGCTACCAATTCAGCTGCAGGATCAAGAGAGGCAAGACTTCCAACAAGTCCCAGTTCCCAAAGCCAACCCTACAAGTCTGAGGCAGTCTGGGAGCGCTGGCAAGACAAGATGCTGGTTTTAGTTTGTTGGTACCAGCCACACAAACTACACACATCCATGGAGTGGCCAGCAAACAAAGCAGAGAGGGCAAGAGATGAAGTCCAGGGCAGGTCTTCACCACAGAGAGAAGGTTCTATATTGTACCTGAAGTTAACGCTGCTCAATTATCATGGCTGAAGCCTACGTAAACCCACAGGAGAAAGGAGGTGACAAGGTTGCTCTTAACGTCGCAAATTAGGCAGCTTATCAACAATGGATCCTTTTGATCAGGGGAGTAACAAAGGGCAACAAAGATGGTGAGGGGTCTGGAGAACAAGTCTTGTGAGGAGAGGCTGAGGGAGCTGGGGTTATTCAGCCTGGAGAAGAGGAGGCTGAGGGGAGACCTTATTGCTCTCTACAACTCCCTGAAAGGAGGGTGTAGAGAGATGGGGGTCGGTCTCTTCTCTCAAGTCACAGGCGACAGGACAAGAGGAAATGGCCTCAAGTTACTCCAGGGGAGGTTCAGGCTGGATATTAGGAAAAATTTTTTCACTGAAAGGGTTCTCAGCCATTGGAATGGGCTGCCCAGGGAGGGGGTTGAGGCACCATCCCTGGAGGTGTTCAAAAGACGGGTTGATGTAGTGCTGGGAGGTATGGTTTAGTGATAGTGATGCTTCTTGTTTGTTGTGTGGGTGTCTATTTTTGTCAGTTAGGTTGACAGTTGGACAAGATGATCTTTAAGGTCCCTTCCAACCTAGAAGATTCTGTGATTCTGTAAACTGATCTGTATTACTGCAAGCTGCTCCAATTCTCACTTGTCTGACACCAAAGACCTCAGAAGTCAGAAAAAAAGAACCACAAACCATCCCTGCTACTAGAGTAAGCCCCCTCCAGGTGGAAACAGCACAGCTGAGTAACACATAAGGATGGGTAGGGGAACATCTCGGGTCAGCTTTCCTGCTTCTCCTTCCTCCCCCACGCTCAGTTATGTTTCCTGCATGGGCAACAGAGGAGTTTTAAGTTCCTTAAAATTTGGTCTGGCAAGCTCGTTGCTCAAAACAGACCACGCACCAGCCAGAGGAAGAGCAATGCCAGGCTGGTGTCACCAGTCTGGTGTGGGAAGAGCCAGCCCCAAGAGAGAGCGAGGTCAGCAGGGTTCCCTGCTGCCAGCCCGGGTGTACCGAGGGTCACCAGAGCCCAGTACGTTCTTTTGTTTCAATCAAAGGCTTTTGCTTAATCCTATTAAATATTTAGGTTAACTCTGGAGCTAAACTGGTACGTGGGCCTTGTTATAACCGGCCAGTCTTCCCACCCAGCAATGGTCACTCTCTAACTCTCCAGGAGAGAGCACGAGTCTGAACTCAGTGGCTGAAGACAACGCCACTGCTCTAACTTCCAGGGATGCCAAAGCTAGAAGCTGTGCAAGGCCCATGGCTGCAACATGAGGAGAGCTGGGACTCTTTAGTCTGGAGAAGAGAAGGCTGAGGGGAGACCTTATCAATGCCTACAAGTATCTCAAGGGAGGGTTGAAGGAGGAGGGAGCCAGACTCTTTTCAGTGGTTCCCAGTGACAGGACGAGGGGCAACGGGCACAAGTTGGAACATAAGAGGTTCCACTCAAATATGAGGAGAAACTTCTTCACAGTGAGGGTGGCAGAGCCCTGGAACAGGCTGCCCAGGGAGGGTGTGGAGTCCCCTTCCTTGGAGAGTTTCAAGACCCCCCCTGGATGCTCCTGAGTAACATGCTCTAGCTCTAGGCAATCCTGCTTCAGCAGGGGAGTTGGACTAGATGATCTCTATGGTCCCTTCCACCTCTCAAATTCAGTGAAATTCAGTGAAACATGCTATAGAGATGGGAAAGCAGCACAGAAATACAATCTTGGCCAGCTGGGCTACAGGTTGGGTTAAAAATCCCATCTATATGGCAGTCATTGCACCTAAGGTGCCAAGCCAGGTCAGCACCATCTCAGGGACGTTTTATTCGGTTCTCTTTTCAGCTCAGAGCCCACAAAGCCAGCAGCACCCAAAAGCAGGTCCTGCAGATTAGCCAGGGAGAGCTTCCTGCAATAGTTTCTGGTCCCATAACTCACACCACGTATCACACCCACAGCACACTCCCATTTCCAGTGGGCTGTGAGCTGGTCCTGTTCCAGCACGGATGCTCCACACAACAGCCCCATCGCTACCAACCCTTGGAAAGTCCATGAAGGCCCTCCATGAGCGGATTTTTACCCTTGGTTCATGACAGCAAGTTTATTCAACAAGCTTTGCTCACACTAGAGCAGCTCTTCTACCACAAATGGCAGCTTACTGTCACAGAACAGCCATAACCCAAAGGCTTCTGTGGCCTGTGATGGTATCTCAGAAAAAAAGGGGTGAGTATTTGAGCAGGGACAGCACAACTATCGCTTCCTCCAAACTTTGCTCTCCCCTCCTTTCCTCTTTTCCTTCCCTTTCCCTACATTCTCCTGGGCCGTTAATCCTGGCAGGCACCAACACTTCAGACTGCACTTGGACAGGATAACGAAGACATAAGTTCTCCCCTCCAGCTGGCTTGCTTACTGGCTTCACCATGGACACAGCTCCTCTTAATAGCATCATAAACTGGAGCCTGGCAGTCTCACCAGAACATGGAGGCAGCCAGGTCCCTAGATGATGATGATGATGATGAACGTCCGTTGTGGGGGATAGGAGTGTTTTTCTACTCTTCAACCTAGCCAAGACCTAAGCTAGACAATAACCTCCTGCACAAGGCATTGGACTTCTTACCTTAGGATGTCCGGTCCCAGGTGCAATCCTCCTTATTTTCAAGCTGGAGGGACAACTCCCAGCACTTGCTGATTTGCTTCCTAACGCTAAGCAGCCATGTGCTGCCCCTTTCCAACTCTGTCCAAGCTACCTTGATTAGTCAGGAGAGCAGAGATTTGCAGAGCTGTTAGGATATTTACAATAGTTATCTAAGATAAATAGATTAGTCCAACAAGTTGAGAAGAGCTGGTGCGGAAGAAGACATGCCTGAGGTGACAAGAGTAAAAGATTGCTTTCAGGGCTCTTTTACTCCTAGCTATTTGTTAAAGGCATACATTCTTCCATGCTTACTTTAAAAAAAAAAAAAAAAAACACACCAAAAACCCAACTGTGCATTACAGCATTATGCACTGTTCTCCTCTAGCCACAGGGAGAGAGACCTCTTTCATAGCTCCTAGCCATAAAGCAATTCAAAGCACAGATTTCAAGCCGAAAGAGAACCAGGTTTTTAGGATTTTGCTTTGAGTTTTTAAGATACTTTAGGGCTTCACCGACTGAAACGTTAGAGATTTTCCAACTCCTCCACTATCCTTAAGGACTTAAACTTACTTATGTTCACTACATTAATGAAGCTCCTCACCTTCTGAAATTGCACCCAACGGTCACAAAGCTAGCAACACCGCAGCAGCTCAGCAAAATTTGAGATGGGTCAGGTTTGGAAGCAGAGGAACTTGGAGTTATCATAACTGGGTGTATCAACAGGCCACTCGGCAGCGGAGGGTTGGTTGACACTCTGAATCTTACCAGCCAGAGCTGGGTATTTGCCTTCTGGGGCTGGTCAACTTCTGAGCCTTGCCATTCTGCAGCAGCGCACGCAAAGGTTTGATACATGAGGTTTGCACCTTTTAAATTCCACTGATCGTCCACAATTGTTTGTTTCCTCCTTTTCCTCTCCACCCTAACTCCTTGGACCATTTGGATTTTCCTCTCCAGGCAGTCACACCCAGCCTTTTCAACAATCCTGCCCATGTGCCTCCAGACTTCCCCTGTTGTTCTCCAGATTGATGGCAGCTCTGCTGGGAATTTCCTAAGAGACTGTACTGTCAACTTGCAGAGAGGTGTTTGTCCCAGCCTCTTATTACCCAGACCTTAGAGGCCCTTCCAGTCCCTCAAGGGGCTCCAGGAGAGATGGGGAGGGACTCTGGGTCAGGGAGGGGAGCCATAGGACGAGGGGGAATGGTTTTAAACTGGAAGAGGGGAGATTTAGATGAGATCTCAGGAAGAACTTCTTTGGTGTGAGGGTGGTGAGAGCCTGGCCCAGGTTGCCCAGAGAAGCTGTGGCTGCCCCATCCCTGGAGGGGTTCAAGGCCAGGCTGGATGGGGCTTGGAGCGACCTGGTCTGGTGGGAAGTGTCCCTGCCCAGGGCAAAGGGGTTGGAACTGGATGATCTTCAAGGTCCCTTCCCACCCAAACCATTCTATGATTCTATAATTTATGCATGTCTATCAGTTACACAGTACTACTGCCATAAAACCTTGTTTGCAAATATTGCCTGTTCAGCCTCTATGCAGTTCATCCTGGGTCTTTCTTCGCC